GTTTGAATAATGAGAAGTTAAACTAGTGATCTTTATAAGCTTTGCTTCTCTTTTTTTAACTCCGGGGTTTTTCTGCCTGCAGCTCTTCTCCCATTCTTTTTGAGAAGGTGTTCTCTTTGCCAAGCAGAGCCTGCACAGCAGAGAAAGAAAGAAATTGTTGCTATGCAGAAGAGAAACTGATTCTTAGTTTAAGCAGTCCACAAAGAAAAAACTACTCCCATTTAACTAGGAACTTAGTGACTTGTTTGTCTGCTGATGTGGTAATTCACTGTTCAGCTTTGTTTAATGCTTGAGTTCAAAAGATGTTGAGATCCACTGAAGTTGGTGGGTGTGTTCCCCATGGGGAGCTGCATCCATTGAAATCGGTTTCTCGGCTCCCCTGTGTTAATGGCATGTAGTTTAGCTCTTAAAAAAATAAAAATAAAATCCCCAAAACCTAACAAAACCCTAAGAAACCCACAAACAAAACCCACCAAAGCCCCTGCACACACACATGGTGAAGGTACAGAAAGTATATGGTGATGTAGCTCCTCACGGGCAAATATGTTGCTTGTTAGAAAACCCAGCAAAGGGAGTTTCTTATTTAATCTCTGCTTTATTTTGTTGAAGAGGCCATAAGGACCTGTGGTAGGCACTCTCCAGAGCAGCGGGTTCATGATTTAAAATAAATAAATGAAATATATCTGGTTAATCAGTTTCTTTTCTTGGCTTCTGGCCTCTGAGCTTTGTTCTGCTGTTTTTTGAGAGCCTTCACTCGGCTTCTGAGTTCTAACTAAAAGCCAATCATGCCCATATGGACTTTATGCCTTTTCTAAATTATACATCCAGCATCTTGGTTCCTTCATCTGCTCATTTCTCTCTGCTTTCTTATGTTTTTCTATCAGATAAGACTTGAATGTCTAAATACTTCTAAATACTATTCTTTTTTTTGGGGGGGTGGAGGGGCAGAGCTGGATCTTGCCCTCTGTTTAACTGCCAAGGAGATACATTCTCATCCTTTGGTTACCATTCTCACTGAAAAATCTGTGATAGTTGTTTCAGGTAGTGATTACCATATCTTAAGTGTTTACCTAAAACTTCTTTGTGGTCACAGAAACTATGGGGCTTTGAGTTTGTCACCGTTTGGAGAATCACAGTTAATTTTTAGAACGGCAGCTGTAGCCTTCGTTCACATCTTCAGTGAGCACCTTCAAGAATTACTCTTCTCAAATGGCAGTGTGGAAGAACGCTTGGGTATCAAATGCTTTTAGTGACATGAAAAGTAGAGAAAAGTTTTTTGTTGTTTTTTTTTTCTACACCCTGAAAGATGCAACGCTACTTTGTACGACAGAAGTAATATTTTCTTGAGGTCTGTTTTGTGCAAACGATAGATTGAGGTGTGTAGGAGGTGGATGCTTCCACTCATTTCAAAATCTTGGTAAGGCCCTTTATACCTGGGGACTGTGACCACAGGATTTCGTTACCAATTAGAAGAACAAGCTCAGCTGCTTCCTTTAGGGCCGTTTCCATTGCCCAGGAGATGTGTGTTTGGACACTTGTCCCCGTGTCCCTTTGTACACACCGAATTAATTACTGTGGTTTGCTATGGAAACAGGTTTTCTCTATCGTATATAAATACAGGCTAAGCATTTCTGGAAACTTAGAAAAGATGAAAGGAAGTGTAAAGAATACTATAATTAAACTGTTCCTGAAATTTTGGCACAATTCTTAAGCTCAAATTTGAAATTGGGTGCTGACTGAGATGCTGCTTGGTTCTTGGAGACTTTCTGTTAATTCTTTCATTACCTAAGAGAGCATATTCTTAGTCACTAGCCTGTTCTCAAATGTCAATCCTTTTCAAGAAAGGTGATGCCTTGCTGTTTTCATGAAACAGTGCCTTTCCTCTGCCTCTTCCTTTTCACCCAGGATGTGTGTTCTTGCTGTATTACAGACATGAAGCATCACCCGTTCACGTAAGATAAGGGTGAGCGATACACTGCAGGCAAAATTCAGTTTTAAAACTGGAGTATGCTTTTGTATGCTGAAACGGTAGGCTTGAATCTGGAATGCTCTTTAGTTTTACTTCCTAAAAAGGTAAATTAGTGTCTGTCTTCTGGTCGACAAACACAAAACAGCCTACAAGGAATGCGACAAGTATTGTAACTTACTGTATGCCCCAAATGATTGGGCATTAAGAGATGATTAGAAAGAAAATTATATACTGTAGAACGTGACTCATTATGGTCAGGATATCTCAGTGAGGTAATGAAGATGAAAAAAAAAAATTGTGAGTCAGGTATGCTGTGTAATTCAGATCCTTTGATAGTGTAATAATGATGACATATTGACATTGTGCTTTGCCAATAACTATCCCTGTCAGGTATTTCTTTCACAGGGAGCAAAAATGAAGAACCTGTGTTTTAAGTGAGTTAATTTTCCTGCTTTTTTGCAGTTAGTGATTGAATATGGAGAATAGATTGAGCAGACTCAATTCCCAGTTCCAGACTTGTCATCCTGACTCCAACACGGAATCAAGATATTCTGATAATGTGGTGTCTCTGTGTGTGTTTCCTGTACTTTGTTTCTGATGTACATGGTCGGTGGCTTCCTTAATTTGAGACAAGAGGCAAGGCGAGTTTTCAGATAAAAATTCAAATAAGAAATGTTGTAGATAATGATTATAGTTGTGAAGCAGACATTCTGGTGCGTAAAGCTTTGTCCTGGCTGTATCAGTTGGTCTAATTAAAATACGTAACTGCCACCTACCAGCCTGGCTTCTCTGAACTTTAAATAATTTCATTTGTAAACCGAAAAATAAATCTCTGCCGGGGGTTTATGTTTGTAAATTCAGCTTTGCTCCTGGAATATACTGTGTCTCCACAGGAGGGCTCTGCTGCCATAGCTGTCCTAGCCCACGCTGCGGGATTTTTTTTCACCTCCTGGGTTTCTTTTCCCCTTTCCCCAGTAGAACAGCAGGCGCTGAAGGTGCTGCCCTGCGGATGGTGCAGTGGGGCATTGGGAAGGTGGCTCTCCTGGAATTCCAAACTAGAAAAATAGAAGCACTCCTTTTGCTTTTCCTGCTTTGCGCAGCCCTCCTGCACTGGGCTGGCAGGAAAAGAAATTTGGATACTGCTATTAAAAAAATTACATTGAGGGGTAAAAAAAAAAAAAAAAGCTTTAATTTCATTTTTATCAGCGCATCTTGCAATTGGTACTTTTTAATAAACGTTAAGAGATTGTCAGTTACCTGTTGTTAATGAGTTGAACTTGGGGGGAAATATAATCCATGGCAGTGATACATCTCATGTCTGAGACAGAGCTATAATAAAATAGAAATTCTGTGGCTATCTGGAAATATAACAGAAAGAAGAGATAGGAAAGAACTTAAAAAGAAGAAAGTATACTAAGCTTGTCCAAAATAAAGGGGGAATTTTTTTTTTGTTTTTAGGGGGGCAGGAAGTTTGTTTGAGGGTTTTTTTTTTATTAATATTAAATCCAGCCTCCAAAGCCCAAGTGGCGAGAATCAGAGAATTCTCCAGTGCATGCTGTGGAACCGAAACTCCTGGAAACCATTAGCACCAATATATGCTCTTTGTATTGCTGGGACCATACTCCCCCAGCAGCGGTGAGCCTGGCACTGGTGGAGGGAAAAAGCAGGAGACATTTGCTGTGTTGTGAAACCGAAGAACCTTGTTTGCTTTCCTCAGAGGCTGAAGTTTCCTTTCTCCCAAGGGCCACTGAAGTGGTGGTGACATCAAGACAGGCTTGCAACTACTGTGAGAAGCAGGAAATCCTGCCTGGTCACTCCAAACCCTGGAATAGAGATCCACAGGCTTCCCGTGAAACTTTTTGAGTATTTTATATACCTACTCTTGTTGTGAGCTTATAATGTAAGGCAGCAGAAAGAAGGTCAGAGGAGAGTAACATTGATAAAGCTGTGGGTATGCAAACCATGCTGGTATCTAGCTAGCTTCTTACACAGCCACAATTAAATGGAGTGGGGATTTCTTGTTAAGCTGTTTGGCTGGGATAGAAACGTTCCCAAAGTTGGCTTTTAACCCCCCCGGGATCACAACATTCAGCATCAACTGAATCATGAATGGGAGGAAAGGGAAATTGCTTGGAGGAAAATAATTCTCTTTAAATTAAACAGACTCTAATGTATGAAAACACAGAAATACGTTTTAGGGCAAGAAATAAAGGCATCAAGTAATTCATTTTCTTCTTTAGTTTTGTGGTCTGGAGAAGTACAGACCAAATCTTACAAACACTTTTTGACAAAAAATATATTTAAACACCTTAGTCGTGGCTCTTCAGCTTTATACCTGACTGTCAGGTGAACTGTAGCAAATGAAGCTGGGGATAATGGTTTTCCTACATCCGAGTCACTGGTGCTATCAGTTTTTAGGATGTGTGCCACCTTTGGACTAGAAAAAGTTTTTCAACTTTCAACATTGTGATCACACCATGAGCTTGTTGCACCTTGGGCTGAGTTTTGTGAGATTTTTTTAACTGTGTACATCTTGTAAGAAGTCATGCTATCCCCGGAATAAATGTTACGTCTGAAGTTTGGTTTGAAGCGCATCGTCATGGAGAGAGACATGCTGTTTTTGGTTTGTATTTCAGATCATGTTGAATACCAAGCTTGCTGAAAAAACGTGTTCAGTAAAACCCTTTGGATGTGTAGAACTGGAGACTTTTAACACATTTTAAGTAAATGTAGCTTTACACTCATTGTGCATCTTTTCTGCTTATTTATAACAAAGAGTGAGTCCGGTAAGAACTATTCTGAGGTCTTCTGTAAGACCTCACTTTGCAGAGGGCAGGACCCTTACAGGTTCTCAGTAGGTCCCAGGCTGCGTTTACTTATAAAAAAAAATATCTTGTGATGCCCTGACAGTTGTAGATTTTGTGGTAAGTGGAACTTTGTATCAACTACGTGGTGTTGTCCATCTTCACTTATTTTTATAATCTAAAAGCTGTTAACAAAACTTGACATAAGAATTTTCTCTTTGATACAGACCACATTGCTAAGTCGTCTGGAACGAATATTTGAAGTGTGTTTCCCTTCCATGCCTGTGCTTGAAATTGAAGAAGAAATAAGTTCATTGAATCATTTGTTGGAAGCGGGTGAAAAGCAGGTGACAACTGAGGAGATCTTAGCAAATGCTGGGTAAGAAGCCACAATGCAACAAACTTAAAATGAGGTAGAAACGGGTCATCTTTGGGAACTTAAAACATACAGCAGTAATTCAAAATGAGTTGTTTGCTTCAAGCATTTTGAAAAACTGTTGAGTTTAGCTATCCAGCAGAATGCTTGTTTTCAGTGACTATATATACCAGGAGTATTTCACTTAACATATAAACTTAGTCAGCAGCATATCAGCTTCTTTTAAGTGATGTCTCTGAGTTAATCAGAGTATGTTGTCTTAGTTAGACTTGATATAAATCGCTATATTTATTCATGTAGTGACCATGTCCTTTCTGCTGTGGACATAATTTTCCAGTAATAAGTGTGAACTATAATTGTTCTGAGAACACTGCGCAGTTTTAGTTCCCCTGGGTGGTTGTGCTTGGGCACAAGTTTAATTGGGACGTATAATAAGTCACTTGCATTAAAAACTAGAATAACTATTCAAGACTGCTAAGCTGTTTTTCCTGTTGATAACTTGTTTTCTGATGGGTTGTGTAGGGAAGTGATGGACGTGTGGACAGAGCTGCAGGATATCCACGATGCGTATGGACTGAGATACCAGTGGGGTGGCTCCCACAGCAACAAAAAGCTTTTGTGCTCCTTGGGAATCGACACAAGAAATATTGTGAGTCCGTCAATAAAACCTGCTTTCTAAATAATGGAGCTGCTTTAAATGTAGAATGGGGTGGAAATTCTTTTTGCATGAATGTTTGTTTCTTAATTGCGTAGCTGCACCGAACATGGCTTTTCATGACAGACCATCTGACAACTTTTTATAAGCCCTGTTAATGTTAAAAGTTGCATTAGTTTTGCACAATTAGAATCACAGACCATTTAACCATTGTGTTACATTTAACACAATATTTATTCTCTGATATTATTCTCTTACAAGTTATATAACATTGGGGAAAAAAAATTATCATCACTGACAGAAACTCTTAAGTAAATTTTTTTGTCATTGTTTTATCAGCTCTTTACAGGCAACAAGAAACAGCCTGTTATAGTACCCATGTATGCAGCAGGACTGGTAAGTGTTATTTTTTGTTAGTGTTGTTTTTATTCCAACAATGTTATACAGTGAAATATATTAAATGAAATTCAGTGCCAGGTATGCTGAAAGATATTTTCCTAAGTACAGTTATGGCTTCGGCATCACATGAAATGCTACAAAAGAATCCTCAAATACATAATTTTCATGATGTGTGCAAGCAGATATTTGGCTTTAAATGCAAAAAGAATCTATTTACTTATTTCATAGCGCAAGCTATTTATCTAATAAGTTGGGCTAGCTAGTCCAAGCTCAGTTTGAGACATTTTCTAAAAAAGAAAAACACGATTTGAAGTCATGTATTGATGTGTATGCAGCAATAAAAAGTATTTCTTGTTGAATTTTAATAAGTGTAAGGTATGGATGTAAAAAATATCCACTAAAACTTGACACAAGAAATTGGATGGTTAAACCGTTGTCAAAAATGACAAAGGAACGTGAAAATTAATCAAAACACTGGTTTGCATCAGCCATTGTGGGAAGCTCTGGCACTAAGAGATGCTTCAGAGGAAGGTGAAGGACTGCTAGATGGTTATGGTACTCCGTGAAATGCCTGTAGGAAGTTTTCTCTGCGCTCTTGAGCATTACTCTTTGTGTAACTGTTTCTCTTACCGACTGTTTATTAATTACTTGATTGCATCTCAGTGTCTCTGGGTCAAGAGAGACGCCTGGTAGTGTTTTGCAGTGTTATTGGCTTATTACTAAAGCACCCCCATATACATTAAGCTATTTATGCATACAAGAAGAATTGTATAGCCAGTATTGTTGTGTGGCCCCGGGCTAGATAAAAAATAGCAAGCATATTTAGGTTTTTGTAGATGGGAGGAAACTCAAGTATCCTTGTGTAGCAAGATCAACTGTTTTCATTTAAGCCAATATTCCATAATTCCCATTTGGCATTTCAGACTCTGTTCAAGGTTCATAGTCATAAAAACATTCAGAAGGCAGGATTTGCCACTTTTGCTAGGCTGAACAGAACAAATACTTTCTTTTTTCTGGAAACCTCTATACATACACACACACACGCATGCTTTTATTCATTCACAGATCGAATATTAAAGGGTTACAGTTTTCTTTGGTATATATTAGGCCAGTTTAATCTGTAGATTCCTTTTGTAGAGTGACTTCTGCAGTCAGTTACGGGAGCTGTTGTTTTTGACCTTGATGCATCAAGGTCAGCCCTTGTGCTTCTTTGGATGCAAGCGTGGTATTCAGTCACAGAGAGATAAAACATCTCATAGAAATTGCAGTTTTCATCCTGTAACATACTTGTGAGCAAGACTATGTGCGTATGCAACGCGTGAGCTTATTTTTAACCACAGACTGATGTTGCTGATTAATTATCTCCCAAATTTTTTATATCCTTACGCACACAATAAGGTGGACAGGGACGATGGTAGGAGTAAAGTGGCTTTCTGTTGCCACACTGCTTTGTGTTTTTCTCCGCTGTCCAAAAGAATTGATTTAACTGGTGGTTTAAATTCTAAGCTCCTCTAACATGGTGTAGAAACATTTGTGGGACGGCTGATCTTGGTGGCTGACTTCCTAGAATTATTTTAAAATACGCTAGTTGCAAATCCAGTGGTTTTATTTGGGTGTTTCTTTTCTCATACCTCGTTTTTCTGAGGTGCTTTGCACATCTCAGTGCCAACTCTGGTCTTTCTATAGATCTCTTTCTCACCCTCAATTTTATTCAGGAACACCAGAGATTTCAGACCTCTTTTCATAGTACTGTTTAGCTTTGAAGAGTTTATTTAAAATTTAAAAAGCGAGTGTAATTATTTTGTTAATGCTTTTTAATAGATCTGTTTCCCTGTCAGTAATTATTGTTCTTGGTATCATCCTGCAAGCTGATAATTTGACTTGTTTCTTCTGAATTACTTAATTATTGAAATGGAATGAATGCACTTTCACCTTTCTGAGGGGCCATTTGATATTTCTGGAATAGTCTACACACAATTGGGAGGAGAAGATGTCACCTTATCAAGTAACTGTTTCCTCCAGCTTAAATGACACTATTGAAAGTTGAAAGCAAGCTCCAGCTAATCTCTTGGCTTTATGTTATGGGCTCTAAAATGTTTCTTAGGCCTGAGGAACCGGGATAATTCTTTCCCCTGCTCTGTTTCCTTCCCTGTCCTCCTCACTGAACGTGTCCCAGAGATGTGTGGTTACCCCCCAGCCCCTAGTTGAGGGCAGTACTACATAGTGTGTGTTCTATTCTTTTGCATTTGCAGTTCCTGAGTTGTTGGAATATATGTAAATGCGACTGTGTCTGTCTGGGTGTGTGATTTTTTTTTTTTTTAATTATAACTTATTTCTTTATTTAGGGTATGTTAGAGCCTACCAAGGAACCTTTGAAACCAATCTCTGCAGCAGAAAAAATAGCTTCAATAGGACAGACACCTCCTGTATCACCAGAGATGAACACATGTACATCTGATCAGTTCCAGGTAAAAAACAGAGAAGGGGAAAGAGAAGAGAAGAAAGAATGAGGGGAAACAATGGGGTGCCTTGCTTTCTCCTTCATATTTAAATTACCTAGGTGACGTGTTCAAAGAGACCTGTATGTAAAGGGCAGGTGTTCTGTGTGTCAGACTGAAGTCCTGCTCTTGGATCTACTTTTCTTGTGTGACTGGAAGGGAGTCCCTATGATAAGTCTGTAGCAGTTGGTGGCCAGCATTTAAGAATCCTGATGATACCTGCTGTTATACAGCAATTTTCTATAAAAGGCAGTAGACAGCTAATTCCACAAATATTAGGTGTATCTTTACAGTTGTCCTTCCTCTGGCTCACGTTTTTCATATTTACTTTTTCAGAAGGTTATTGTAGAAGCCTGATACAAGATGAATTCAGAGGAGTGGAGGAGTGAGCTTTTGAATTCCGTGAATTCTGTTTTGTTGTTTTGATATTGTGATATTAGCAAACCACCTTAATGCTGTGGTATGTTGCAATGTGTGTGGCTGGCAACTAGCTAATGGGATATGCAGAGACACTTCATTTTCAGTGTCACTACAGTGGTACTTGACACATATTCAGAGAGTCAGCTGTGCCCCTCCTTAGCCGAGGTCTTGTTTAATCTGCCCAGCATCTTCAGTTACCTGCTGTGCTTGTGACTTCTGACTAAAGGTATTCCAAAATGAATTATCCTTTTGCTACACCTAATCCTAATGCTAGGTTCTTCTGAGCGTAGTGATTTCCTTGCGCTCTTTGCTCTGCCATAGTGCAGAGCTCTAACTGATGTGCTTGTACCAGAAGAGAAGTATCTTCTTTTTTTTCATTGTGGAATAGCAGGATGTCACTGGACTCAGAACTGAGCTTGCTTTGTATAGTAATATACATGTTTGGTGATGCTTCCTGGGCTGCATCTCACAAATACTGTAGGGGAACTGAGCAGCTGATCTGGGTATTAGAAAAGATAGTAATAATGATTATTGTGACCAGTGTGAGCTGAAGAAATCACTTGTGTGACTTCTGCATATGAACAAAGTAAGAGAATTTCACTGGCTTTCTGCAGTGTTCAAAGTTCCCTTTTTACAGAGGGCAAAACATAGATTAAACCATGTACTAAACATAATGTCAAGAGCTGCAAGAGCCTGAAGTAGCAGCATCTCTCACATGTGCCATTCTCCAGTTTCTCAGTTGCTTGGCAGTTACAGTGCTGAGTCCTGAAAATAAGAACCTCTCCTTATCAGAGTCTCTCTTTTTCTTTTTTTTTTCTAATTATGAATTTGTACTTTTCAATACTCCTGCAGCAGAATTTCCCATTACTTGTCACAGTTTGATAATCTTGTCCTTTAGCTTGTTCTGACAAGGCCATCTCAGTTCATTAGTTGTGATCCATTAGGACATATGAGAAGCTTCTATGCTATTTGTCTGTAGTGCTGGCCTTATATTATTTTTTCCAGAAGCCAAATACTAAAATAAGCTTTTGGGATGGAGATGAGTTAGAGCTCTAACCAGTAAGAATGCTAAGAGGCCACAATGAAGTGACATCCAGAAAAATTTCGGGGCATTCAACGATCAATTCTCCACTTCCATGACCTTGTTTGTTTCTTGGCCTCATCTTCTCTTAACATTTGGTGGCTTCTGTTTGTTTTTGGCAAAATCCAGCTTCATTTCCCATTGTGCAGACTGCCTCTTAGGAGTATTCCAGATCGTAGTGGTATTAGGATGATGTGCCCAAACTTTGGTAAACATTTAATTAGGAACTATGCAGTGAATGTTAGTAAATAAGCAATGGAAATATTATAGGCAATTTTAGGGGACCATGAAACTTGTTATTCTAAACGCCAGTAGTTTAGGTGCAACAACTTAAGTATCTTTAAGCTTAACCAAGTAATTACAGGCTAACTGGGCAAAACTTTTAAATGCCTCAATTTTGAGACAGCAATGATGATTGATCATTCCTATATTCAGAAACTGCAGTATATGGAGTTTCTTGTTAGAAAGAGAGGCTCTGGTTAATAAATTCCTATGCTTTGCTTAAGGAAAGGGGAAGAGGTCTCCTTTGTTGAAAGCTTGGCATTTAAGGGACCTCTGTACAGATCAGCATCTGTCTGTGTGCATGTATGACTTCCTGCTGAGGGAGTAAGATTTTGGAAGAAAGACTGTGATGATGCAAAAATAGGAGTGGAAAGAACATTTGTAAAAACAGAAATGCCTCCTTAGTTTTTTTGGTTGTAGGCGAATGGAGGAGAGCCTGCAGAGATGTAAATTAGAGAGCATTAGAAATCAAAAGGCTGAGGAAAAAAGCAGCAAATGAGCTGCAATAATTTTTTCTTAGTTATTATATAAACTGTACGTTTTGGCCTCCTTCCCTGCAGAGGATCTCACTGGGTTGGTTAGGCTGTGGAAACACAGTGGACAAATTTCCATCTGAGCCCTAAAAGGACAGGGTTTTCAAAATGATGATTTCTCCTCTCAGGCAAGTTCAGTTACTGGCTGATCTATCACATTAGTTTATTGCATAAAGATGACTTCTGTAGACTCGTTCTGTTTTATATTTGAAGGTAACTTCTAAATTCTTCTTTGATCTGTTGTTTATCTTGACAACTGGGGAGGGGTTATTTTTCTGTTCCTCTGTGCTTATAAGTGTATGGCAGGAAACAGAATAGGAAATAAAGGCAACAGCATCAGGGGATTATCTTAGTATGGGATGTCTCAAAGGTTTCTCAGGTCTGAAGTAAAAGGCTCTATCATGGCACATCAGTGAAAGAAAGGTTCAAATAGGTGACCTCTGATTGTGAAAGCTGAGACAGGGACCCTGTTCTTCTGTTTTACACCATCTGCCAGAGAGGGTTTCTACACCATGGCCAAGGCTTCGGGCAGTGCCATTAAAATATATTCCAGTGCTGGTTAAAAAAGGATGCTGTCTGGAGTCAACATTGGCTGCTTTCTCTTGATTTGATACTGTTCTCTGGCTACCATAGTTTTAAAGATTATTTACTTTCTTCGTTTTGGCTTTTTTTTCAAAAAGCTCTCTATTTCTGCTTTTTCTGTATTTCTGCTCTTTCGGTATTTCTTCAAACCATCTTCTTTTCTCTATTTGAGTCTGTGTTTCTTTGGTAGAGCCTAGTGGTAGCTTTGTCCCAGCATACAGGATAACTTCAGGATTTCTTGCCTGCCTAGTGTTGTTTAGTAAGTTTTATATTGGAATAGAAATCTATCAGACCTTTCTAGAGGAAAATTAGGAGTAATTATTTTCTGTGGGTGCCTAGGACAGCATGTCTGCCTGCGTATAGGCTGCTGAATTAGAGATCAGGTTATAATAGAAATCTGTACCTTAAACTTGCCAGCTATTAGGGACTGAACCTTAATTAAACCCCATGGGGTGACAGTTGTTAAAAAACACTTTTAATTACATAAGGGACCATCAGGACTTCTAACAATGCCAGGTGCAAAGTACCATATTACTGGCCACCAGCCAAAGGCTCCATCATGGAACTGCTCTCCAGTTATACATGGGAGAAAGATCCAAGAATACGTGTAGCTTTGTTACCAGAGTAAGAGAGAAAGGTTTGCAGGGAAGAGACATTGCAGAGCTTGCTATTCTGTCAGATGGGACAGTCACTTAAAGGTGGGGTCTGAGAACTCATTTTCAGAACTGTTGTAACTTTGCCAATGAATATGCACAATGAAAGGTACGAATTGCTTCCATGTAAACTGAAATGTTTTCTTCTTTTTTTTTTAAATATTTCAATTTTTTCTAAAATGTTTATGATGCTCCTATGTGGAATCTATCTAAATATTGGTATCATATTTGTATTACACGCCCTTCTTCAGCTTTAAGAAAGCAAAATACTTCCTTTTTTTTTTTTTTTTTCTTTTTGTTTGTTTAATTTTCCTTGGGTAATTATTGGCACAGAGACAAACCCTTAACATTTTACTCCTTTGGATTATAAAAGCTCTTACATAAAACCATTCTAAAATTACTGTGTGAAAACATCTCTCACTTTTATCAAGGTGAAATACGATGCAGTAAAACCAGCGGGCAGTTTAGTTTCCTCTTTCTTACTTCCCTCAAAGTAAGGAAGGACTCTTGACAGATGAGGGTGCTTTTTCATTTCGGTACCATGTCCTGTGATCTAAGCTTGAGGGAGGAGTGAGAGCAGTTTGCCCTGATTCTCCATATCCTTCTAACTCGGGCACTTTTCCTTAAAGCATGTTATTAAAATCCTGGTTGTAGATGCAGCACTCCAGCAACCTTGCAATCTCTGAAAGGCAAACCCACTATATTCCCATTTGCAGAGCATGTTCCCAGTGCCTGAGACATCCATGCTGTGTTCAGGTGTCCCAGTATAGCAAGCTTTTTTTAAAGCTCAGATCACTAGAGACAGAAAACTTTCCCTTTCTGGTTAATTGGCTTTTACCCCTGCTCTCTCCTTTCTTTCACCGTGCTGTCGCACAGACAGGGGTCTGCCAGTGTCCTCTATGGAGGGGGTCTGCTTTATTGCCACCTCCCTCTCTGCAGGGGCAGCAGAGTCACCTCATCCCATAGAGGATGCTAATACACATAAATACTCATACTGATTTGGAGTCAGGTTATATTTTTATTTTCCTCCCCATTTTAGGAAGAATTCATCACTTCTTTTGTCCACTCCTTGGCAAATTTGAGAATCGAGTAATCATTAAAGGGCAGAGCTTTGCCAGCCTTTTCCATGCAGTTCTGTCACACTCCTCAGTCTTGTGACACAAAAAGTGGGAGTTGGTAGGCAGCTACTTTTGTTTCAATTCCATTTCATTTTCCTCAGGGCAGAAAGCTACTAAATTGTCATACTCTTCTTTTTTTTTTTTTTTTTTTTGTACAAACCCTTTTTAGCATTAATGTATTTTAGATGTGAGAAATTTTAAACAAGCTGCTGATGCTGGTGATGGTTACTTCATCAGGTGTAGCTTCCCTGCTGCTAATGTTATATTTCCATGCAAATCATTTCAATGCTGGTAATTTCATTACCAAAGTAAAAAGTGTAGTGTCAGCTCCTAAAGCTCCATGGAGTCAATGCCCTTCTAGTTGTGCTCAATACTGGAAATATTTCCAAGTCATTAGGTAGGAAAGATATTTATTTATTTATTTTTTAAGGGTTTGCTATAAGTAAACACAGAAATTTCCAGCTCCCATCATCATCTTTCTTTCTGCAAACATCTATCACCTGGCAAAACCTCTTACAGTTAGTTTAATTGTACAAAACTAGCTCAGGTTGCTCGTGGCTTGATTCATGAATATGCCTATTTTTTTCAGTCTTAGTTGACAAAATTAAAAGAAAACATAAAATTAAAGCCTGACATTCTCCAAGAGCAAAAGTGCTCTCTTGGCCACTGGAAGCTTGACAACTAATGATGCACTTTGAATAATGCTACAGAGAAATTCCATTACTTTTCTCCCATAAACATGCTGGTTCTGTTTAGAAGCTGAAGGCACATCCTTCCCTGGTACTTCTTGACAAGTTGCCTTCACTGAGGAGACAGCAGAAATGTAACACGCAGAAGTAGAAAGATGAACTTATTTTAGATCTTTCTGATACTGTCCCATCCAGTTTGTGTCCTGACAACACAGGACACGTTTTTCCCCCTAAAACACAACCCCTCCTCTTGCATGATTTACCTGGTTGTGAGCAAAAGGCTTCACGAGAGTCAATGAAAAGGCAAGGATGGGCTTCCAGAAGGAGTCATGCTCCTCTTGTTGAAGCCTTGTTACCAATGGTTTATTTATATATTGGAATGAGTTAATCACTAAAGGGTAATAAGTCACAAGATTTTTATTAATTTTTATTTTTCTTAAAGGGAGTGGGGAGGATGTTGATGGTTTGTCTATCACATGGAGGGTTTATGTCTCTTGAAAGCACAATAAAGCACAAGAATCATGGGCTGTTTGATGGTAAATAACTGATTTTGCATATAATCAGGACAAAGCATGGATGTACAGACACCTTTCAATAATAACCCTATTCTAAATTTGCCCTGTAATTGTGTATACATAACTTTTTATGCAAAATATCTCATCTTCCATGAAAGTAATAGTAGTTTGACTTTTAACTATGCCTTAAGGGTTTTTGCTTTATCCAATTCATATGTTTTAGTTAATTTGCAAATCCTCTTTGAGTTAGAAGTTACCTAATCTGTACTGTTCAGAATTTAATGAGACTTCCTGTGGTAGAACAGATCCACTTTGAATCTTTCGTGCATATTATGAAAATACACACCTCCCGAAAGTTGGAGCTTGCTCATTTCAGTTGTCTTTTTAGTATTTAGACGCTAAAGAATCTGTTGTTTGAACTGCTTTGCATTGTTGTAACCTGAACTGACTGTAAAATCTGATTTCTGACTTTTCAACTCTAGGAATCTCTACCACCTGTCCAGTTTGACTGGAGTAGCAGTGGCCTTACTAACCCTTTAGATGGTACGTCTCTCCGTAGAGCCTCTAGCACCAGAGCTAGAGATAAGAAAGCTACAAAGTTCAGACAAACATCTATCTGCTGATTATTTTTTTCTTTTTAAATATACACACACACACATATATATATAAATATATATAATATTTATTTCTTACTCCTAACTTTGGAAATTCAGGCTTTCTTTCTGATTAACTGTGCCCCTACGTGAAGTATTATGTAGTCTGAAAAATACTAAGTTAAGTATTATTTTAGATTCCTGCCGTATGCTAATGACACAGTGGCAATATTAACACTTCATTACGTACATAACTGCAGATTATAATGAAGCTCTGAACAAATGAGCATTTTAGATTGACAAGTTTTACTTCTTAAAAGTATTTTTCACCAACGAACTATCTCTGTAGTCATCCTTTGAATGACAAACTTGTGTATAGTGGCTACTTCAAAGCACAATATTTTAACCACAAACTGTTTGCAAAAGATACACTTCTTGACCTGAAAGTTTTCAGATTTACAGATAATTTTATATTTCAAAAAAAGTTACTTCATCTGTTACCACTTTTGCTTACACTCAAGAGCTAATTATAGATAATATATGAAATTAAAGAGGTAGCTACAAGCTTATTTGTATCTGTAAATATATATAGTTGTCACATAGAAGACCCTTCACCTATGTCTATTTTAATAGCAAAGTGAGTTGTGCCACCACCTCCGGTCTCAGAAATGTAAGTGCACGCAGAGGAAATAAAACAAGTTTTGGAAACTTGTTTGATCGACAGACTAGAAACCTGTAAGGAAACCCATACCTTTGTGAGGAGCCTGGTCACAGCAATTAATTGATGGCAGAGGAGTTGTTGGAAAGCAGGCTAAAATAAACCACAGCTCTCCCTGCACTGGTGGTGTTTGGGAACACGTGGGATGGTAGGAGTTTGGAGAAGCGATATCATTGCTGAAGGAAAGCCTGGATGGACCCTTTTGCTGTTGTCTGGTGTCTTATTACTTCAGTCAATCACCACGCTTTCTTTTTAACAAACAACTTCTTTAAAATGTACCTTGGTTTGATTTCTGTTTTAGTACTAAAGGGGAACAGTATAATTTGCCAGTGAGGAACTGGATATAAGAGTGGCGTTTGTTACCCTGTGTTCACACTGCTTTAAGATAATGATAATTAATAGCTCAAAGCTGCTAAATAAAACTTTAAAGCTTTTTTTTTTTTTGGTTCTTTGCTATTTGGGGATCTGCTAAGTCTTCCTGATGAAAGAATGGCTTTTGATTTCAGTGAGGGGAGAAAAAGCCTGCTATATTCTGACTATTGATTGACCTATATATTGTTTCCCTTTAACCGATCACATCTTTCTCTCTGGGTCGTGCTGGTTCTCTTTCATTTTTAGATTGAAATAAATATATCTATTTTAAAGTTACTAGTGTTGATTTCCTTGCCGCATTGTACATGAGGAAATGTGCACTGAATTAAGTTGTTAACATTTTAGGAGGTACAAAACTAATACTGTAAGCATTGTTTTCATGTCAATTTTTAAATTGCCTACTGAGTACTAATTATAACTTGCATGTTCAAGTGTGTGTCTTACCCCTTTTTACACATAAACCCCTCCCTTGGCTTACCTTCTATATGGCTGCCTACCAACACGGTCACTGAATTTCAAGCTAGTGGAGGTTCCACTCTTCTGAACCTTGATTTCTTTGGGCCCGTGGATGACAGTAGCTCTAGCAGCACCACCACAATCCCAGGTCAGCAGAGTGTTAAAACCACAACTGTCATTTTATAACGACTTCCTAAAAAGCATGAGCACATCACTTGACTTTCCTATAAACAAGGAGAAATTTTACGTTGCCTCTCTCTGAAATGTCTCTCTACTGCGTTTTTTCCTTTAATCTGTGTTCTGTTTTCTCATGTTTTGTATCGAGCGCGAGGTATATAAAAGGTACTGTCAGCTCTGTATTTGTCCCGTGCTGAAGGAAGGAATGGCTCTTATGCTCTTGCAAATACGATGTTAAAACACTTGTTTCAAATGAGAAATTTTGAAAGTCAACTTTTCTAAGCATTTAAGAAAAATTGAAAAATGCTGCAGATGTGACGACTCCCCAAAAATAAGCCTTGTTCCCTCTTCTGAATTGAGCGCCTCCAAATCATAGGATTATGATGTAATTGGAAGTTACATGTGAATATAAAGTTATGGGTCTCAATACATCCCAGCCCTACTGGTCTTTGCTGGTACCAGGAGGCAGTAAATTTTTTCTTTGTGGGAACTACTAATATTAAAGTGAAAAAGTGTTTTAACAACATTCATAATAATAATTAAAAAAAAGGATAGTTGCATGTTTGTGGGACATCAGAAGTTCATGAATGTTAATTATAAAACCAAAGCACTTTATCTGCAACTTGCTCCCTTAAAAGGAGACAAAACCACCACTCTCTCTCCAATGAATAATACGTGGAAGTAATTGAATTAATTTATCGCGTGGTTTTGACATGCTCTGAGTATATTGCCCGAGCTTGTGAAAACCTACACTTTGAATAAATTTGCTGCAGGAACTTAAGGGAATGTTTTGAGGATTTACCCGAGTGCATAGGTTAAGCAGATAAGGCAAATACTCTTTCAATACAATGCCTGAAGCCATGATAATAATTTTCTGCATAGGAAGGGATATTTTTTCTCATAGCGATTTTAATTTAAAAAAAAAAAAAAATCAGTTTTTAAGAGGTTTGGGCTTTTCCCCAAATAATTATAAGTGCTTATAATGATTGTATTTTTAGCGTTTAAACACCTGCTTTTTCAGTTTTGAAATCTGATCATTGAAGGCAATTTTACAGCATGGCATTCCATGTCTCTTTTCATTCTACCCATGAGAAATGGCATTTATCAGATGAAAGGTGGCAGGTTTGTCGTGGGCGCGATAGGTAGCAAATTCACAATGCTTGAGTCTTACAGATTCTCTTACAAATGTATGCAAGTCTATGGATATATAAAAGCTGTCTGTCCCCAGTCCACGTACTGCCCGGGCACTTGGGTATGTCCTTGTGTCCTGCTGGTGTGCCCACCTGAACTCATTACTGGAGGGACACTGTTAGCCTTTTATTGCATTTTTTTTTATGTTGTTGCTATTGTTCCATCAAGTCACAGGTATTATCACCTTCCCCGGTATGCCCTATAGTGCCTATTTTTGGTTTTGATTTGGTTTTGGGGGGTTTTTTGTTTGTTTTTTTTTTGTTTTATTTCGGCTTTTCTTTCCTCCTGACTTGTTTCTGGGAAAGTCATTTGTTTCTTGGCTTGCAGCTCGTGTGTTTGTGTGTGTGTTTAGGAGCTTTGTGTGGGGTTTGGTCGGCTAACTTTCCTTCAATATCTCATTAAGGTTTCGCAGTGCTTTCCTTAAATATTCTCTAATGATTTGAATAAAATGGAGAATATGCAACTCTTAAAAATGAACTGAAATAATCGAAAGACAAATTGTTAGGCCTTTTGGCATAAAGAAGAAACTTTTATCTGTAATAGAAGTTTGTTCTTTCTGTGAAGACCTTAATTTTACTTACTATAGCTCTATGATGTATTCTTCTCAGCCCGATTTCAGCAGCAGCCAAAATCACTTCTTATTAAAGTTTGCATTTTACGTCATGAACAGGGAGTTAACCCCTTTCTAGTATGTTCCCACAGATTTACTGTATTGTTTTATTTTTCATGTTGATAGTTTAACATAAATGTAGCTGAGTAAGAGGTTCCTAAAGAACAGTAAATTGAGCAGTGACATCGCACTACAATGAAAATGAATTCAGGACCGTAAATGTGAATATCTAAATGATGTAACTTACGAGGTTGCATTTAACATTGGTTGCAGAGTTGCATGTCAAAGGACTCCTTGTTTCAATTAGTTTTACAATTTGTACCTTAATGGGATTTCACAGGCTTCTGCAAGTCAAAGTGTATTTCTTCAAGTTTTCCTCTCCCTGTTTGAAAGTGGGTATTTCATGGAATAGCTGGGCTTTTTCCTATTTCCAAGTTCTGTAAACATCTGACAATACTTAAAGTCTTGGTATACTGGTCTCGGGACAGTACATATTTTGGTGTTTTGCATGAAACTGGATGAAATTAACTTTGAAAATGCAGACTTAAAAAAAAGGTAGATTGAAAGGAGAACTGATTGATTTCTAATCAACCGATATTAAATGGAGCAAATCTTCCCCCTTCCAGCTCCTGCAGCTTCACCAGATGATTTTCTTAATTTTATCTTTCGGTTGGGCTTAGTTTCCTAACAATGACAGAGAACTTAACTTGGGCATGGATGACAAATGGTCAGGACGCTGCATGGGGAGATGTCACGCAAAGCAGGCATGAGGATTATCAACCTCATCTGTTTGTGCCTGCAAGAGACAGGATGATAGACACAGGCATTTTTATTTTTTATTTAGTAATCTTGCAGTATTTCAGAAGTGCTTCTAAAAGTATCTTGATCCAGGCAAATCAACTGGGTAAAGTCATCAGTGCATCAGTTTATAAATGCTGGTTTTGTAGCTCCATGGGACCATCCTGTCCAACGTTTGTTCTGCAGTGGCATGAAATGCTTCTGTGTTGTCCAAACCAGCTGGCGCTGGTGTTAAACTTGTTTTATGGACACCCGCATTCTGAACACAGTGCTTCTGTACAAAAATTCTACGCTGGTTTTGAAAAATATTTATAATTGTGGATGGCACAAAGGCACATTTCATTTAAACCCACAAAGCACAAAATAGCTGAAACTGTAACTAGGGGAATATCACCAACTTAAAATGCTTCTGAGCAACAAAAAGTGATGTAAGAGTCTTTCCTCTTGATTTGTTTTGATAATTCTGATTCCTAGAGACTTTTTTAAAGAAACCATACTTAATATCTGAAAATTCTGCAGCTACTATGTACTGAGGTGTGATGCTTGATATTAACCAGGTAAAATTTCACCCATATTTTTTTGGGTGCGAGTTACCATTGTTTGTGTTGTTTTCAGAATGACTTCTGCTGATAAAATTTGAAATCCATTTGCAACGTATGTGATGTCAAAATTCAGCATCTGACTTTAAGATATCTGGAACTCAGAAATCCAGCCTGAAACATTCAGATACTTGATGCTTTGTGAATACTTGAACGATGACAAGGAGGCATAAACTAAAAGTTCTGGTAGCTTTATACATATTAGTATGTGGCTTTTTTAATGCCATTCCACTTGTATGTATCACAAAAACTGCTTTTTCTCACTTAATTTCTTTTAACACAACCTCTTGTGGAAAGCAAGATACTAAATGCACCGTGATGCGTGCCAGTGCTGTCGGGTATCTCGTTAAAGAGTTGGTCCCTGTTAACACACAGCATTCTTTTAATGCAGACAGTTGAGTTGCAGTCATTGAAACAATCCCATTTCAACCCAGCTGACATTTTTACAGGTTTTTCACCCTAAAAGGTAAATCAAATTTGGTTGGTTTGCTCTTAAACTGAGACCTTCTATGCCAGACTTGATCCCACTTGTGTGTGTGTTTTATCACACAACTACAAAAGCTACTGAAAAAGGGTGGGGAGAGAGGGCAGCGTTTTAGAAACGCAGACATGTGCTGTCATGTTCTTTTCATGTATCTTGAAATTATAAATGATTCAGATGTTTACAGAAAGGCATTCTCTAGCAAGTTGGTCTGTGGCTAATTAGGGCTGTACTTGCCTCCAACCATCACTGATTATCATTTTATACTGTAAGGTGTGGATCCCGAGTTGTATGAATTGACAACCTCAAAACTGGAAACTTCCAATGCAAGCAACAGAGTGACTGATGCGTTTGCAAGGCTCATGTCCACTGTGGAGAAGGCAAGCACGTCCACAAGGTAAATAAATATTCTTTGTTACGCCTTTTTTCTTCTTTTTCTGTGGGTGGCATGAAGTGTGAGGAGTGAATGTGTGTGCTATTTTAGGTCAGAAGTTCTTGAACGATCAAAAGGCTTAAGTTTAACAATTCCATTGAAATATGAAATTCATCGTACTGTAGTTCATATTTCAAATTAACAAAGCACTGTAAATTAAGATGAGAAACAGTTCATGAGCTGAAAGAAAAAGTTCACCAGGACAATTTGAAATGCTAGAGCCAAAGGAACTAGAGGAAGCGACTTTCTGAAGAGCAGAGCTGATTCCTGAGAATGGAAGGGTGAACTGAACCATGCTGTTTGGTGACCTGGAACTTTGATGGAAGACTGTCCTCTGTTCTCCATATAATTAATAGATATAGAATGTTCCCCAAGTAAAATAATAAAACCGACTAATAATTATGAAAATATTTGTCCCTTCCAATATATTTCTAGCACCTGTCAAAACTTCAGTGACCAAACATCAGGTTCATTTTGCTATTGCAAGTTAAGAAACGAGCGTGTAGTTGGTTTAGGATGTCCTTTCTGCTTCGTGGATCTCATGTGAAGTTCTGTACATCTTTTTCTATAGGTAGAGGCTGGGTTGATGTCAAACATCTTCCTTTGGTCTCTTGAATGGGTACAGAATAGTCTCTCCACTTATAAGCCTGTATTCTTTGGGTTTATTTTTGGAATTGTGTATCTTAGCAGTAGGATCCTGGGCTGTCTTAACATGTAATTAATGTCTGTGCCCATTAAAGAATTGCTGAGTGATTCTTACCAAATAAAAGGGTTCTATTGTTGAGGAAATGCGTGCCTCGACACGCAGCAAATATTAGTTGCTTTGCAACTAATAGATAGTAACGTAGCCTTGCTCATCAGTGAGCTTTAGGATTTATTCAGCACTCTCAAACTAAGTAGATGTATTTCCACAGTGCTTACAGAGGGAGGTATGGTTGAAGAGAGTTGTGGCAAATGTAGTAATTTGTAATGGAACATAGCTGGCTTTCTAAAAATTACCAAAGCTATAGTTTTCAAGAGCTCTTTTGAAACACACTCTTTCATTGAGAAAACTATCCTGCTAGTTCTACTGCAGTGAAAATGTTCCAAGTGAACACTGAATAAAAAAGATCAACAAGGCATGAAATTTCAAGGGAGAACCAGTAGAGGGAACTCCATGCTTCAATGCTGATTTTTTTGTGTCTCGGTTTTTGGATTGCCTGTTTTTCTATCCGTGGAGTTCATGTGCTCCTTCTGAAGATACACTAGTGGGAAAGTTGGACTTTCACTAAGTAGAAAACATAGTTACAGCTGAAATATTTTTGTAATATATTCTAAGTCTAATTTTAAAGTAACCACAAATTCACAGCAAGGACATACAGACTCCAAATGTATCCTTATTAATTATTTTATTTCCATTCATAGATTTGTACCTGCTTGCTTGCTTATCTTAGCTTGCTTTTTCCTTACAAAGGAACGGGGAAGTTTGCTTTGCTAAAATGAACATTGACCTTAATTTTTCTGTATTGTTGGCTTTTGATATAAAGGGTTTGGGGGTTTTCCCTGAGGTTTTTACGGTGTGCTTGAAAGCTCCTACCTGCTCTGTTAAAGCTCTTTATCCAGATGGCAAAGTTCTTTCCTTTTTCCTCAGTAGTCATTGCTTAATGATAGGTCTGTGCTGTAGGAGTAGGTCAGGCTGTAGAGAGATGCTGGGGACCTGAGACTTCGTGGTTAAGTTCAGACACACACAAGGATTAACTCTTTTAAAGCAGCTGTTTTCACTGTTCAGTACATTTTGTATGTTTTTGTCAACTCTGAATTTTTAAAATTGCAAGTGTGGTGGGTTTTTTTTCTCTTTTCTAATTTCATGCTCTCTGAAAGAAAAGCAGTCTATTTTTATGTCTTTCTAGCTAGAAACCTTCAGAGATATAAGAAGGCCTTATCTCGGAAGTATGCCAAATGTGTCGCAGTATGTTAGCTTTTTCTAATAAATTTGTTTTTCTTTTGAAATTTTAATTCTTTTTTTTTTTTTAAATAAACTAGACATTTTAAAATAAGAGGGGTGGGGTACAGCCTTCTCAAGAAGGATGACTGCACCAACTCGGAAATGGGGACTAGTAGACATCCATGATAACCGACCAGGGGAAGATGTGGCCAGTGGTTTAATACCAATTTGGCAACTGAAGTTGTGCTGAGGCTTTCCCGTGTCTGTGACTTATCTCAACTCAGAATCTTTAGGGTAAATTTTAGAGTGAAAATACCATTTTTCAGCTGTGGGAAGCCATCTTTGTCTGAAGCAGCCCCATCTTTTCCTTGAGAACTGATTTCTTGAAGCTGGAAAAGTCAGTTTCTCGGGAGGAAAGTGTTGGGAGAGGAGGGAGAACTCTGCCCTCAGCTTGAGCCTGAGCCCTTGGTGGCAGCAGTAGGTGGTGAAGGTCAGGGATCCAGGGCATCATTCCTCCCAGAGAGACTCCGTGGATTTGCCCGCTTCCACAGAACTGGCAGAGATCAAAAGCTTATCTGCTGCCTTTTTGAAGGAAGGCAGAGCACTGATACCTTTCCAAGAAACGGCCAAGGCTCTCATTTAAACTGGAAATACTCCTTGTTGGGTGGTGTTGGATGGAGCAGGCTAACTCTTAATTAGAGAGTGATTTTTAAAGTGCATTGCTCTAATCAGCAGACAGAGGTAGAGTCATAGAGTTGTCCAGGCCAGAAGGGACCTCCAAAGGCCATCTAGTCCGACCTCCCCGCAGTCAGCAGGGACACCCCCAACTAGACCAGGTTGCCCAGGGCCTTGTCGAGCCTCTCCTTGAATATCTCCAGGGAAGGGGCCTCAACCACCTCCCTGGGCAACCTGTTCCAGTGCTCCACCACCCTCACAGTGAAGAACCCTCTCCTAATAGAAGGGGTAGGAGAGCTGCTGTTGGCCTAAATAGGTAGGAGAGCTGCTGTTGACCATGCACTTCCTCAGGTGTCCATTCTGTTAGCCATGGTAGCTAGAAACTAAGAGGACACGAGTAGAAGCTCTGCAACTGTGGACCAAGGTTTAGCAAAAGAATGTCTTGACAGTGGGAATATCTTCAGCAAAAGTGGTGCCTGAAATTAATGCCTCTGACATGGTTCTTTCTCTTGCCTCCATTAAAAGGCATCACAGTTGTTGGGCAGTTTGGGAAGTTTTAAGGGTAAAAGCAGACTCCAGTGATGGTGCTACTTTCTTTGAAGTTTAGAGAGTTTGTGAGTAATTCCTTAGGTTTTGCCTTGGTGATACTTGCTACTGAAGGTGCTGACTTACCCAGAAAAGGGAACTTGCAGTGTCAAGTTTTATTGTGTTCTAGAGGAACCTGCTTCTCTCCATTGAGGAATGGAGACTTTAAGCTGTCTCATTCCCCTCTGCGCTGAAATGATTTTAAAAATGGTCTTAAGCCTCATCATCAAGGGATTGTACCCGTAGCTGTAACTTGCTCATAGTTTAATAACGTTTGCTGTATGTGTTAGCTTACCCTTCTTTATAGATACTTTTTACAGAGCATATTAAGTAGATAAATTATTGCAGAGGGCCTCCTGCCAGGAGGGCAGCCCTCCGTGATGGGGTGAGATTCACGTCTGACCATGACGTTGCAGAGACCAGCTAGTACAGCAAGAGTAATAGCATCATCCAGTGATAAAGGTCCCGTGTATGACCACCAAATAAAATGCAGCCCTGCCTCTGGGACCCAGCAGTGCCATTTCTGAGCGTGCTGCAGCTGAGCAGGGGAGGAAGAGGCATATAAATAGCAAGGAGTGTGTGAGCTCCTTCTCCCTGCCTGATTAACAATTACAGGAACTCCTTTTAATGCAGATCTCTGAGTCAGCCCTCTTCCTTTGGCTTCCTCTGTCAAACGCTCCTTTGTTAGCTGTAGGTCCTTGTTCATCAGGAGTTTGTACCTTTAAGAGGCTTGTGGCAAGCGATTACTAATGGTGGCACCAGGTCCTGATAACACAGTGGTGGGTGACAACCACATTTCAGCAGCTCAGAGATAGTCCTTGGAGCGCAAACAGAGCTGACCGTGAGGTTGTTAGAGGAGGCACATGCTGGCTCTCTGCTTCTTCCTCCAGTAAATCCACTGCACAGCTTTGTTTATCCTCCAGAATTTGGTAATCTGCCTAGTCGGTGGCTCATGAAATTCCACTGCAGCAGAGAAAAGAAAATAATTGCTATTCTAGCGAAGGAAAGTCAGATTAAGTATCTAGGCTGCCTCATCTAGAGATCTTTCATCAAGTGGAGATTTGAAGTAGCAAACAAAAGTGATAGTTCAGTGTCAACACAATGATCAGTGATGTCAAGGATGAGTTTGACTCAGCTCTTTTTTTTTTTTTTCTTCTCCTCCTAGCTGAAATTCTGAGGCTGCTGCTGAAGCAAAGACATCGCCCTTTGCTTTCCCCCGATCTCTGATGGGTTCAGGAAACAATCCTGATGGGGGCTGACAAAAGAAAATAGAAGTACATGCTGCTTTGTGGTCAGAGTGGCCATTCTCACGGGCTCATTTTAAAGTTTATACCTGAGACAAGCTATAGAAAGGAAATTTCAGAAGTGTTCTAGGGAAAGGCAGTTTACTTGGTCGTCTCGAGTTGCTGGTTTTGGGTTGTTTTGCTTTTTTTGCCCCAAAGATGGGGAAGCTTATTTAGCTGGAATTTCTAATGTCATTACAGGGTGTAGCGGGTGCCTTTTTGGAACAGGAAAAACATTTGGTGGAAAACTGAGTATTTCTAGTAATAGGCAGCGTTCTTCAAAGATAAGCCTGTAAAGTATGGATGTTTGGGCAGGGGAGGGGGGGTCTTCTGTAGCAGTCGAAGCCAGGCTTCATTTTACTTAGGAAATGTGAGGTTTTTGCATAATAGTGAGAACCAAGCCACATGGGATTCAGACCTCTGTATTCATTCGCGCTCAGAAAATTCTTGTGAATAATGTAAAAGGCAGAGTAAACAGCAGTGATTCCCAAACCGCTGTATGGATCGTTAGGGCTACACGTGCTACTGCACTTCAAAGCAAGTTGCTACAAGTTGTGAGCCACCTTTTGCTGCTGCTGAGCCCTAGGGGGGAAAAGGGTTTGTGGATCACGACTTAGAGCAGTATGATGCCTAATCTGTCTATGGTCATGTGGGAAACACAGCATAGGTACCTTTCTTTTTATTTTGAAAGTATTAAGAAGTTAGGAACGTCTTAATGTCCTTTCAAGATTTTTCCTTTTTCTTTTTTTAAAGATTATACTGAATTTTAGATAGTTTAGAAGTAATGGTCCTATTGTCTTATCCCTAGAGTACGGGCACGGTTGTTTCTTCAAGCGAGTGGTCCCAGAACAGCATGCTGGAACCTGCCAAAAAAAAAAGAAAATACATAAAAATTAGCATCTGAATAGGATTGGGTCATTGTTGGTTTTTTTTCCTAATTGCAACAATATTCAGGAACGTTTTGCTGACTTTCTATGTTAACATCTTGTTGGTAGGCAGGTAGTTATTAGAACATTAGACTACCTTCATGTAGCTTAGAGAAGTGCCTGTCAATGGGAGACAAACTACCAGAACATTGCTTCAATCAGTGGTTCTTTCAGTGATTCAAGGGATATCAGGTACTGGATTAATGCACTTTATTCTTCTCTTCTCAACAGGAAGCCTAAAAAGGAAGAACATCTTAGTGAAGAGGCTGCCAAGGTGATTTCTAGCCTTCCTGACTTAACTTTCATGCATGCCAAGGTGTTGATGTTCCCAGCCACATTAACACCTTCAACAAGCTGCCAAGAAAAGGTAGACTAAAGTGATGTGAATTGGACGTTTTCTATTGATTATTTTTTTTCCCCCCTCTGTGGGTCGTAAAAAGCAATCTTGCTTTAATTAAAAAAAAATCAAGTTCAGATGATTTGTTGGTAAGCAGCACTAGAAAGGTATACATAATAATGTATATTTATTTACATACTGGAGTCCTAAATTTATATTAGAGAAAAATGTAAATAATTGGGGGTAAATCTTTTTGAAGATCTATTCTTTTTGTTGTGCTGGGGTGTATACATTTATGTCTTTGTGAAATACACTGGTGGTGTCCTTCTTACAAAACTTTTAAAAAGTTTAAAAAAAATAAATAAATAAAAAATCCTAGAAACACATAATGAAAATGTCAATCTTCACGATCTGTGAAGTCCCCCTCAAAAGTTTTCAGATTGCATTGAGCATCTTTTTCTTTCCTGCATATATTAAAATAAGTATTGCTGGGAAAAAAAAAAACCCAAAAGGTTAAATGGTCCCTTTGCGGGTTTTCAGTTATTGTTGTTTCTTTAAAACCCAGTAATTTCATTTCTGGTTTAACAAGCTTAAGATGTGTTTTTCCTTTTCTTCTTCCCCCTTTCCTCTCCCCCCCCGCCCCGGTTGATTGGTTGGCTGATCAGTTTTTATGTTCTTAAACTTCAATAGTATGGCTGTGTCACTATATAGCCTTTTGAAAGGTATGCTGTCAGTAACTTCTTGTTCCGGTTACGGATCTCTTGTCTAAACACTTGATTTTTGGGGGGTCATTAGAAGTTTGTCTGCTTCTAATCAGTTTGATTTTTTGGAAAAGAAGGACCAAAACTATATGAATGTCTTACAATGAAATTTACCTGTTTAAAAATTTTTATGTTCTGTTGTACCACTATTCCTGTTTGATTTTGCACAGTGTAAAATGACATAATCATAGATTGCTATGGTTTTAGGCTGTATATACAGTAAAAAACTATGGGTTGTAAATGTCTGGGGAAATTCCTATGGAAAAAAGAGAGCTATGTAGAAGAACCTCTAAAAAGGTCAATGTGCATGCCCAAGGTCTTTTGAGATTTAAGTGTGTAAATTTCCTTTTAGCTTACACAAAATAAAATAATTTAAAAGATACATATGTATATAGTCTGTTATCTTTTTATACAGAATGTATACATTATTCCCTTTTCTGTTGATGGTAAAGTTGATGCACTGGGTTAACAATAGAACTTTCTCATTTGTGCTATGCAGACCCCTGAAGCACCCCTGTTGGGATCCTGCAGAAGGAGAAGCAGACTTCTCTTTAATTGTCTCATCTCTATGAACGTGTTGTGACGGAGTCTTTTTATTTCCCTTTCCAGCTTGCCTGCCAGCTTGTAGGGCAATGTGGCTCAGGACACGTCGGTATCTTGGGTTAGAGACTTGTTCAGAGTAATTGGTGATACTCAGCTGTAAGGAGCACAAGTTCTGGTGAGGTGAGAAAGGACAACTGATTTTTTGCGTATTTCTTAGCTAGAAATAAACATGGAAAGGTAGGATTTGATTTTCCTAACATGTTAGCTTGTGCTATAGCTCTTTCAGCAACATCTCTTCAGAGGCTGTCAGGTAAGGCATGCCCTGGGTGCTGATATTTCTTGAGTGCCTTGCATGGGCATAGACTCTTCATGTCTAACCTTTACTGTGCGCACAGAAGACTTCAAGTGTCCAGTGGTCACCACCGGTTCCTCGGTTAACATCTAGTCCTGAGAAATCTCCAGTGCATTTTCTTGCCTCCTTATTGAATTCTTTATCATCTGACAGCACTTGAGTCAGAAAAGTTAAAGTTTGGGCTTGATGTGGTGATTAGGTGACAAGCTGAAACGTTGTCCTGGCAGAAGGAAGCCTTTTCCTTCTAGGGAATCCTCTTGAAATGTCCTCAAGGATGAGTGCTGGAGTTCCATCTTCATGAACGCAGGAGTTTCAGTGAGTGGTGCCCCATTAGAACTGAGAGCTCAGCTCCTGCCCTTGTGATAAAGTTAATTTGTAAAGGCTAAATTGGCTCCTCTGCCCTTCAGTCAGGGCTGCGGCATACAATGCCACGGCATCAAACTGCACCCTCTTGGAGCTGAAAAGGCTTATGCAAAAGCCATCTGCTTTACCCCGTATCCCCCAAAACACTTCTCGCTGCTCCTTCTGCGGATTTTCATCACAGCACTGACTTCATGCCTGTTCCATGTCAAAATGAGCTTTGCTAATCTCGCAGGTTTGGTGCAGGATTCTTTAGTGCATGCTTATTGTATCGCTCAGTTCTGGTGTTGGGCTGCTGTAGGTTCAAATCAGCCCTTTTGTTTTCCCAACCACGGCGTGTCCCTCGGAGCCAGAGTAGCCTATAGCTGCTGTAGGGAGCTATAGCTATTGTTTCCAGGAGAATATGTTTAGGAGCTGACTCATGATCCTTGTCTGGCAGCAAGTGGACTAAAGTATTAAGGAGAGGTGGGGGTGGAAGTGCCAGCTGCACGAGTTGATCTTTAGTCTCTTCACAATTGCCTCTAGAGGCAGCTGCGCGTTTGTCTTCCAGTCTCCCAGCGCCGGACTGGTGGCCCGCTGTAGATGGGGGAGGGAGGAGGAATGGCAGAGGGGAAAAGGACATTTATTGTGACTTACGTACCGGTGTGAAACTTTGTGAAACCTGGTACTACCTGGGGTCTGTTTTGGGGGGGGGGGAGGTATATTCTTTTTGCCAAAAAAAAATAAATAATTGCATCCCCCAGACCTTCACAGTGCTGAAAGACAAATCTTCCACCTAAATTCAGCCTTTGGGGGTGGGTGCATTCAGCTTGCCTTAAAATGTAGTGTTGCTTTTTGTCTCCTAGCCTTCTTTCTTGTGGATGGTGGGGTGGACGGGCAGGCTCCTCGCCCTCTCTCCCCCTGTGGCTTCGTTCACGTGCAGAAAGTTTTGTCTGGTGGATCCAGCAGCTTTGGGGTCATCCTTCCACGCCGTTCCCCTTGACACGGGGTGCCTTATCTAGTTGGTTCTTGCTGGTAGGTTTATGGGCAGGATAGTAATTGATACTTTCTGCATATAACATGTTGCTGTGTGTTGTCACTGGACGTGTTGATGTGTATCACATTTATTGGAGAAACGGTGTCATTTAATAGCGAGGCGCTTACGTGCTCGGCCGACAGAAGTGACAGAGGACACTTGGTTCAGATGCGATTTGCCAGAGTTGGAACGTGGCCACGAAGCAAAGTCCAAAACTCCTGCCGTGAAGCGAGCTGCGGGCCCCGAATGACTGGGAAGAAGAGCTGGACTCTGCTCTCTGTTATCCAAAAAAACTGTGCTTGGATGCTCAGGGGTTCAGCGCTGACTTTACCGCCTGCTGCAGGTGTTGGCGGCACAGGACTTCCCACAGCACTTGGAATGTTAAGACCTTCTCAGAATATCCTTAGCTTGACAGATTCATTTTGAGACGCCAAGAATAAAGCTTACAAATAATGTACCTAGATGCCCTCAAATGGAATTGGCATGTACTGAAGTTAACCCTTCATCGCACCAGATTTTTGCATGGAGTTTTACCCGATAATGAAATAATCACATGGAAAGTTTTGTTGTTGGAGTGCAGGAGGGCTGTGCTTGGGCTGAACATCTAGGAGCCTTTAAAGGATGTGAGAGAGGCTTTGCTCAGCACGTGTGAGAGGGATCAGCCTTGGCCCCGGCCGCTTACATCTAGGCACAACTTCTTTGTGCTGGTTCTTTGCCCCTGTGTAATTACCTTTTAAATTTCAGAGCAGTCTGGAAAGACAGGATAGTTGCAAAATACACTTGGATGTAATTTATAATAGCGTGTGGCGTCTGGTAATTGCATAGCACCTGCTAGGAGTGTCTGCTACGAAAGCAGAGAAGTTTTTTGTAATCTGGCCTCTGTGCTGAAGAGTGCAGCCGGTGAAGGCAGCAAGCAGCCTGGTCTGCTCCCTTAGGAGGGTGAAAGGAGATGGGGGGAAACAACACATTCAAATTCAGGAGGCTAAAAACAGGGTGGGGAGGAGCTGGAAGAAAATAGGAAGAAGCAAGAGCTCAGGAGAAGCTCTTGAGTAGGGGAAATAAGGAGGTGAAGCAGGACCCTGAGCGTAGGCAGCTGGGAGAGCTATAGGAAGAGCAGGTGGTGGAGAAAGTGGGATACGAGCGTGAGGAGCAGGGGCATTTGGAGAGGAGAGAAAGCCTGGGATGGATTAGTGTCACACACACACTGTGCCCACTGGCTGCAAAACCTGGAACTGAGCCTCAGAGACCCCAGTCTCCGTGTTACTGTGCCGTGGAGAAAATGTGGCAAACCTGTTGGGTGAGCAACGGTTGTGTGTGTCGCAGCAGCCCGCTATCGCTAGCAATTATTTTTGATAGAGGGCTGGACTGCAGGCATAAGGGTTTAAATGCAGCTACTGGTGCATGTTTTAGCATCGATACAAGTTCCAGGTGTTAGAAGACCCTTTTTAAAATTATTTTTAAATATGGAGGTACGTTATAAATCCAGACTGTAGGTATAAAATCAGATCCTCAAAAGCTCAGCTCCGCTGCTGTGATTTGGACCTGCAGCTTCAGTCCTGCCGTGCGTCTGCAATGTGACAGTCGTTGCTTTCTTGTCATCCTGTCTTCACCCTGTCCTTGCCTCGTGCCCTGCGCAGATTTATTCTCTGAATCGGCGTCGTTTAGTGCAGCTCTTCTCTGCAGGGCCCCTGCTTCTTGGAGCTAAAGAGAAAGGATGGCCTTATGTGGAGAAGGCACAGGAGAGTGTGATGCTCTCCTGGCTCGAAGAGGGTCACCACGCCAGCTGTTTTGCAGGAGGTCAGTTGTGCATTTCTGTACCTTGGTGCCCAGCGTGATTGCTCCAGCCTTGATTGGGATGTACAGAAATGCTAATTGCTCTGGGGCATCGCTTAAGCTTTGCTTGTTTGATATACAGTCAGGGCTCTGCGACACCAGGGGTCAGGTGCACGTGCTAAGCACCCGAAACGGCTGGAGTTCTTGTTTTCAGCCTTGTCAGCCTGTTCTTAAACTTGTAATATATGTCGTTATCCCCACGTTACAGCAAGGTTGCGGAGATGGGCTCCGTTTGAAAAGCTGTGCTCACCTTTGTAGTTTGTCAGTGACATCTGAGAAGGACTCAGCTGATGGAGTACACATCTCAAAGGGGTAGGGGACTGCTCACCCTCTTGGGTCTGTATTGGCATCTATTGGCACTGAAGATGATGAAGTTTCTGGTTTAGGGGCTCTGAATCTTCCTCTGTGGATCCACTGATGTAGTCAGGTCCTTACTCACCTGACACTGGGGCACGTACCTGCAGAGATTCCTAATACTGTACTCCACGTAGGGACTGGATTGTGTGCTGGGGACACTTTTGTACTAAAAAGAGACTAAGGTCCCGTGGAAAACAAAATGATGAGACTCTGTAACTAAAGACTAATCCAAATGAGAGTAAAATTAAGGTATAAAACACTTTGGAATGTTTGCCTACCAGTCCCTTTTCTCATGGTTTTTCATGTGCTCTAGCGATCATTTTTGGCATGGTTTTGTATCTTTAGAATATGTCCCCGTGTGTGCAGTAAACTCAACTGAGGCATCAAAATGAAGCTTCCTCTGTCAGGCTGCGTGCCCTCAGGTCCTCTGCTGGGCTTCTGCCCGTGTCCCTGCTGTGCCTGTGCCCGAGGTGGCACTTGCTGCTGGCCTACGCCTGTGCTCACACTGGCAGTTGAGCTGTGGTGACTGGTCCTTGCTCGTTAGGGCTGGATCCTGGGGGGTTTATTAGCACACGTGCATGCACAGGCATTTGCATGGTTGATGGTGGGTCTAGCAAGCAAATCCCTAGAAATTTCTAAGCAAAAATTTCTAGCAAGCAGAATACAAGTAGGTTTCCTGCTGGGATCCTTGCCATTGCATGAGGCTCACCTCCCATGTTTCAAGCAACGCGGTTATTAAATGGGGAGGGAGGGGAAGCAGAAGGGGCAGTTCTCATCTTGGCAGCCTTGTCTGTGTCTTTGTCTCTGCTTCTCCGATGAAATGCCTCTCGATTGTTTTTAAATCTTTAAGGGATAAAACCACTTGGCATTTGTTTCCCTCGGACAGCGAAGGACTGCGGTGAGGGCAGCTCGCTGAAGCCAG